AAGTAAATAAAAAAGTGTTAAATTAAAATAAGAAAAAGAAGAGTTAATCTAAATCATCTTCATCTAATCCTTTACTATCACTATCCAATATATCAATAACATTTTTTAAGTCTGAATCAGGATAATTGTCTAATGATTTTATTAACATTTTTGCTTGATCAATTGATGTTGGTTTAAAATTACATAAAGAAACAATTTCAAGTAATGACAAATGAGACATACTTTTTAACTTTTCAATAAGTTCTTTTGAGTTACCATTGTCTTTAAATTGTCTACAATATTCTTCTGTTTCACGTGCACTGAAGTATTAAGAATTAATTTACTTTTTAATAATTATATAAAAAAAACAAACTATTTTCCTGTTCCTTTTGTTGATACTTCTTCTAATACCTCTGAAGTAGTTAAAGGAATAGCATCTTTAAACATATCACCATATTGTAAAATATCATTATTTGTATTTCGTTTTGTGTTAGCTTCTTCCATTCTTTTATTTTTGTTTTTTTTTTTGGTTTTGATAGTCATTTTGTGTTATTTGAATAATCCATATAATTATTATAAAAATAGTTAATAATATTATAAAATACTAAATTTGAAACCTAAAGAAAGATCTAGTAACTAATGAACTAAACCTAGTTCTAAAGGAGAATGTCCACACAAGTTACTGAAACTCCAGTTATCTATGCTCAAGTTACTGAAATTCTTGGTCGTACTGGATCAAGAGGAGGTGTATTACAAGTAAGATGTGATATTATTGGAGAAAACAGACAAATCCTTAGAAATGTAAAAGGACCAATTAGAGTAGGTGATATCCTTACCCTTCTCGAAGCCGAAAGAGAAGCCAGAAGATTGAGATGAGATAAATTAACTAGGTCACTCTGTTATTTTGTGTTGTTTTATATGTTTAAAAGAGTATTTTCAATTTAAATAACAACAAGAATTATTGTTTCTTTTTTATTTCTTTAATTTCTTATTGTTGTTATTATTATTTTCATTCTTATTATCTAAATCATTATAAACTGAATGAATGATGAATAAAAAAAAGTTATTTCTTGAGATATTGACTGTACCAAGCTTCGTCATTGAGTAAATCATAAAATTTATCTTCAATAATTCCTTGAATCTCATCTACCCATTGAGAACATATTTGTTCATTTTCAAATCTGAAAATATCTTCTCTGAAATAGATACAATTTGAGCTATGATCAATTGACATATCTTTATTAATTGAAATGATAGAAGGTTTAACTTTAGATTTTGTTTTTGTTGTTTTTGCTTGAGAATATGTTTTTTCTTTTACATATGCAATTTGGTCATTCATCAAAAATGCCATATATTTTTCTCTACTAATTTCAATTTCTGATTGATTAACTAAATATCTACCATCTTTTATTAAATCATCATTATTAAAAAGATCAGCTAGATCCATTAATCCATCTCTCATTTTTGCTCTTTGATTGATAGTCTTACTAAAGAATTTAAATATTTGTTCAGCATTAATAATTTGTTCATAATCTGGATGCATTGGAGGAGTATGTTTTTTTATTGTTTCTAATAATAATGGATATCTCATTGTTCTTTGTACAGGTTGAATAAGTAATGTTGGAAAATCAGCAGGACTATCTCCTTGAGCTTTATTTGCTTTAGAAATAATTTCTTGAATAATAGGAAGTTCTCTAATACTTTTCCATACTTTATCAGCAATATTATAATCAGTAGTAAATGGTAAATATGGTGTAACTAATATAGCATTTTTAAAAATTTCATTACCAACACATGTATCATATTTAAATGAATTAACTAATGGTCTTAATGCTTTTTCAAATTTATCTGAATTAATAATACATTTTTCTAATGTAGTAAATATTCTTTTAATATCTTTTTCATTAAGTTGACCATTTTTAGCTGCTTCTATCATTGGTTTTCTATATAATTCATTCAATTTTTTCATATTATTAACTAAATTTCTTTCAGTATCAACAAATTCTATAAAATCTTTTCTTCTATCTCTTAATTTTTTAATTTGATATTTTTCCTTTACAACAACTGTACTAATTCTTCTTTGACAAATTTCTAATGATTTAATATCTTCTATTGGATCAATTTGTATTTTACTAATTTTAATATTCTTTTTAGCTAATAATTCTCTCATTTTATTAATTTTTTGAATATCAATTTTTGGTTGAATATTTTCTTTTCTTACTCTTAATGATCCATAAATTTTACTCATAGTTTCATTTTTATTTAATTCTAATAGTTTTTCTTCATTTTCTTGTTTTTTTCTTTTTACCATCTCTTCTACTTGTTCATTAATTCCATAATATTGACAAATATCTTTTATATTATCTTCATTTGAATTATATACATTTAAATCATAATATGAAATATGTAATGCTCCTCGTTTAATATATTCTACTAATTTCTTTTCTCCATCAATCTTTTTTAAACAATCTGTCATTCTTCTATCCATTACACTTAAAAATTTTCCCATTATTTCAGATAATGTTTCTCTTGTAACTCCTAAATATACTAATATATCTGGAATGGCAACTCCAAAATACATTAATATTACCATTCGTTCAACTGCTTTACAACTTGTTAATTCAATGTCATATGTTGATTCTCCTTTTAAATAATCAAAATATATTTTCCATTGCTTTTCTTCTTTTTTATTTCCTGGAATTTTAATTATTTCTCCACGTTCAATACTTTCTTTCTTTTTCTCAGCTAAAAATCCTATTACACTCATTACACTTCTTCTATTATTTAGTAAACTCTTTTCAAATTCAAATGTTGCTCCATTAATTTCAAATCGTATCACTTCTGATTCATTTCTTGTATTAAATGAGTACCATGCCTCATAATATTCTTGAACTGTAGATGTGCCAGTAACTCCATTCATCTTGAAATTGTTTTTCACTAAAAACTTTTTTACTTTTTAAAGATTTATAACATCACATTTTATTTTGTGTTATTTTTTAAAATATGTTATTAATAACAATATTATTAAAATAAATTTTTCTTAATTTTTGTTTTAATAAAAAACAAAAAGAAATTACTAAAAAATTAAAAAAAAAA